AAATATGTTTTATTCAACTTGTTCCATCTGAATTAAAAATATGCTTAAATCATTTTTGTCTACATATAACGCGTATCTCATGTTTTTAGTTATGTAAGTTCTAAATTGTGGTACCCGTTTTCACTATGACACTGAGTGACTGGTTTTAAAAATAAAACAGAACATTTCCGATATTGTAATGTGAATCCTGTTGTTTTAATAATTTATAAAAGTTTTATTGATTTCTAATTTATTTATATTTTGGTTGTCACTTTTTATGAAAAATCAATCACAGAATCTCGAAACATATGATACTGCTTTATTATTTTTATTACTAAACTAATAAATGTAGAAATAAAAATAAAGAATACACATCTCAAAATTAAATCATGTAACCTATGCTGTAAGTAGAGAAACCGTGATGTTTATTGGCATGTAGAATATTTTATTTTCAAATTAAAGAAAAACTACTTACAATTTAGATAAGATTAATAAGCGAATGTTTGCTTTTCTAAATCCATGGGCCATGAAGGTGAATATTATGATCTGATTTACCCGAAAATGACGGAGGCCATCGTTCTGATGATGCTGGCAGTGCTGAATCATATAACGCCGTTGCAATGTTGAATTGTACGGCGCCGATTTCATGCTGGCCGAAGACATATCAGTCTGGCTGATCGAAATCAATACCAATCCCCGTATGCATCCGCCAAGCTCCAGATTGACAAGATGCCTTTACTCCAACGTGTTTAAAGGTGAGCAGCAAAACGGATATGAGAAAGTTATCGTAGTGTTCGAAAGAAAATTTTTCCGAGATGGCGACGGAAGAGCGGATATAGACTGATGAAGGTAAAACTGAACAATCCGCATGCTATTAACACCTTGTCTTGCACGAGCTTTAGAAATCGTTAACCACATTCTGAGATTAGACGAGTTACCCGTCGTCCGGACAGTCAACCGAGACGGCTCTCTCTCGGTTTGCTAGAATGATAACGGTGACCATAATTCGCGGCGACGTAATGCCGATAAGCGCCGCGTGCCCTATGTGATGGATTTACGCGAGGAATTAACCACGTTAGCGAGATTTCCGGAGCGCAATTATCGAGCCTGAAATGGTCAAACACCTGATTGCGTCAATTATATCTTTAATACACCTTTCGCATATTGTCTCGACTGATGAAGAAGTAAAATAATTTAATTGATAGAAATAATTTTATCATGTTTTCAAACTTATTTTTAATAAATATCGATCATTTTTAAATAATTTTAAACTTATGAAATGCACGGATACTTATTCTATTATTATTTACATCAAAATATTTTATAACATTACAAAAAGGATTCATGTAAACGCGAAATTATAAAAATGCTGTACATAAATGAAAGCAAACATTAATTGAAGCAAATTTATCTTGGAAACGTATGTATCAAAAATTTTTGTAATATGCAACCTGATGTTAATAATATAGAGATATTAAATTAATACAAAAAAGAGATAATATTAAATAAAAATATTAAATTTGCAATAATAACATTCATTTATTATGGCTACCGATAAATTTAAACAATGGAGCTTTGTGAATTGGTTATATAATCAGTCCTTTCATATTCTCCAATAAGTTGAAAAGAGTTCCATTTTGCCTATTCTTTGTCCCTCATATGCATGGCTTTTTATTAAATTCAATATTCTATCTTTTTTAGAAAAGAGCTGATATATGTACGTCGTTTGTATTCATTAATAAAATCGCTCTGATCTCTTTTTGGAATTCATTTTTGAATATTTAATTTGCTGAATCTGTCGAACGCAATCATATCGAACAAAATATTGAACATTTATAAATAGATGAATGTATTAATTCTTGTAATAATAGCGTGTATAAATGATTAATAATTTTTAATGAATTTTTAATAATTAAAGATAAATAAAACAGGTATATTACAGTTAACATACTTTTTCACATTTAAAAATACCGGATGTTAATTTACCAATTTTAATAACGGAATAAATCAGAAATTCTGTTGCTCTTACACCGAGATTTAAATGCCGAAAACTTATCAATGTGACAATGATTTATTATCTATAAAATATAATTAAAATAAGAATTGAGAATATAAAGACAAATATGTAATTCAAATAATATATATAAATAACACTGATAAGAAATGAATAAGAATCTCCTGTCGTATTCTTTCAATGATAAATGCAAGTGACATAAGAGGGTTTAAGAAAACTAGTATGTGGCAGCGCACGGTTTCTCTTAATCTGCTAATCTGTTTTCCGCAAACTCCATCACCGTAATCTAGGTAAGAGCGATTTTCGGTAGTATGGTGAACGATGAAAATCCTTCGATCGCTTTGCTTACAGTGATAATGGACGTGCCAGTGAACGCTTGCGCCGACATGGGTGGCTTCAGTCTGGTCTACAAGCAGGACATACCCGACTTCCAGCCATACCTCGGTCCCTACCTTTTCGTAGCTGGCGAGTTGATGACACTGCACGAGCAGCCGCCGGAACTGACATCGAAGAAAGAAAGAAGGGCAAACATTTGCGATCCCTGGAGCAAGCAGCAACGTGCAAGAACCGCCCCGCCCATGATCCTACGCTCGAGAGAACCGAACGTGGCGGATCTTATTGACCATTTGAAAGCCGTTCGGTGCACCGCGACCAATTGACGTGAAACCCTCTCAGTCGATGCCATAAGATAAACATGAAAACGATCGGTGAGTCAAGCGATTCTTCAATATTTACAGGTACATATTCAGTTGAAGCAGATTATAATATTATTTAATATAAAATATATTAACCCTACTATCATCACTAGTAATCGAACGATTCCTTATTTTTTCCTAACTTATGAGTATTTCGATAATTATAAATTATACTACATTTTGTTATTTTTAAAAATTAAGTTTAAACATTTGTTCTAGAAAGTTGAATATATATGTTTGTGAATTTTCAGAGATTTTTAAAATTATTTTAAATAAGTAAAAACATGACCGAGTTCTAGTGATCTACATAGGAATGAGACATCGAATTGGACATGGTGTCATAAGAGTTAATACGGAATTTTTTTATCCCGGATATATATCAATTTCAATGGATATGTGCATCCTAAAAAAATATCTGTATAAATTTAACACTATGTTGTGTTTATATCAAGAGACACTAGTAGTGTCTCGGCGTTAAGCCATGCGCAACGACACACTACCGTGGCTACTTTACGCGAGATAATTTTCACCAGAGTTGAAAAATGACGCATTACTTGTAACGTTATCATATTATCGTTATCTCTTCTATCTGTAACAGTAACGAGAAACGTTGTTATACTTTTACAGTAACGATACTGAATTCAACTGTTACTTTTATCGTTACTTTAATCGCTTATCTTTGTATTTATTCAATAGGTCATATTTTATTTTATTGGAATGTCCTTTAAATAACTGTATTAATATTTAAAAACAACGTTTAACAAAAATACAACAACGTTTAATAAAATTTACGTTTGTAAGTTATAATCTGAATTCTTAAAGAAAAGCATATATAAAGATATTAGCATAAAGAATTATGGAAGACTTGTTAGGTAAGTTCAATATAAAGGAAAGCTAGTCTATATAGAGACTGGCTTACAGTTTTAAATTTTAGTACTTTAAGCTTAAATAAGTTAATTTCAGTAAGTTTAATTTTGATTGTTATATTTAATATTGATTATTAAATAATAAAATTCTTTAATCTAACCTCTCACTTTAACATTACAAAGTAATGATAAAAAAGTAACAAATCGTTACTTTCTAAGTAACAATAATGCGTTACTTTTTAAAATTAGTAACACGAGTAGCGGTACACGCTGAGAAAAATGAGTGATTCTGGAAAATGGACGAATAAAAATTTTCTGGTTAAATCTACTAAAATTCTAATTGAAATAACTAGAATTCTGATTAAAAAAATTATTCTGGTAAAAATAAAAATTCTAATAGATTTTATCAAAAATATTATATTAACCAGAATTCTGATTATCTCAACTAAAATTCTAATCAATTTAACTAGAAAATTTTTATTCATTCATTTTTAAACAGAAATTTTTTTTAGTGTCTAACAAGTTATTTTTTACATAAAAAGTAACAGTAATGGTAACGTGTTATTTTTATGAAATAATGTTTCCAACTCTGATTCTCACCGTATCGATGTTAATAGTGACACCAATATGATGTAGATATAACATCATATTTAATCCATATCATGATAATATTGAGATTAATATCAATACCGAGAGAATTATATGAATCGTATGATGTTAAATTCACACAGATATTTTTTTAGAGTGTTAAAATTTGAATGGTTGATATTGATGAAAAAGATAGTTCAAGGTGGTGAACGTAAAGGAGTTGTAGGAGACTTCGTTTTCTGATTAATCGAGGGCACCATCGCGCGATTGAACGCGAAATTTACGCGTCCGTATTTTTTCACAGTAAATTTAGCACCACGCCGTAATTAACGAGCGTGAGATAGCGCAGTGTAATTAATGTTGTCATTAGCGAGGCGATGTCCGCGCGCGCTGGCATCTTTTCTTTCCGCGTCTCTGAGGAAAAGCGCATGGTTTGAAGAGATGTGCTAGTTGCACTATTGGATATAGCGATGTAAACTTCTTCGGAACATAACGAAGTAAACTTTCTCGGTCGCGGTGATTGACGGAGTACTTTTGCGAAAAATTTGCAACACGATGCATAATCTTGTCGACGACGGTCTTACATTTATACTTTCCAAGAGTACGCCAGGAAAATCTACTTACTAAGCAAATTTACATACAAATATCTTAATACGAAAAAATAAAAAATTTGAACATTATTATCGGAAAGTCTAAATTAACATAAAGTTATTATTGTTTGCTTCAGCAAATTGATTCAAAATCAGTCTCACTTTGGCAGAAATTTATAACGGCTCGGTAGCCTCATGCAAGAACCAGACGATCCAGATAAAGACAATTATTTTATTGATATGTACATACAATAAATTTATTTACAAATAATACAATAAATTTTGACGTCGTAAGTTATTTGTTCTTGATGATATATGTTAACAAAATACTACGCTCTTACCGATTATTGTGCCGTGCTGATATTTGAAAATTCTTTTGGTCACGGAAGTTCGTTTTTGTCTTTTCTTTTAAATGTAAACTGTAATGTTCGGTTTTACCCTGCACAAATATTTATCCAAGAAACGTTAACGACGTTAAATAGGCAATCCGCGATTCTCGATAATCGCGCTTCTCGTTCCATCGTGTGTGTCGGGGTAAGTGTGTTTTTCGTACTTCTCGCCTTATATAAACATTATATTAGCTATTACTAAAATTATAAAACAAATCGGCCGTATCTTGCTGTACGAGGAGCTTCCGGTTTCCCCGTGGTGCATCGCGGCTGGATGTTCCTCTGCAACAGAAATTTTCATCGATTCGACACGGTAATCTACGAACGAATTATAAACGGATAATATATGATTTTATCATGTGTACTAAAAATATGCAAAATCTATATTATTCACATCGGTGCTTAGTTTTTAATTTAGGATTTATTTCATATATGAATAATATGTTCTCTCTCTCTCTCTCTCTCTCTCTCTCTCTCTATATATATATATAGGAGTTGTTATTTTATATTTTATCTAATTTCATTTGCATATTATCTTGAAGATTCGTGAACGCGGACTCGTATGGCTATAATCTTGAAACGTTATTATATAAAACTTAAGTAGTTATCCCTCCTTCTCTGTGTCCCAGAAATTAGTGAATACCAACTCAATCGAAAACCGATACAGATTCCTCGCAAGTCTGAAACTAATAATGCACCGGACGTTTAATCAGTTAGACGACAAGCTAAATTGAAATTGCCGATACAAAACGAGTTTAAACGCTTTCTGGTAAATTACATAGGCGCGGCAAAAAGGACAAGGTGGTAACAAATTAACATTAACTTTGGTTATATACGTATATTATATATACTTCGTGTGTTCATCGGTTTGTTCTGCTTTTTGCACAGAAACAATTAAATATGGTTACAAACAAAAATATTCAGATAGAAATGCGTTGTGTTGAAATTTGTAAAAAAAAAAAACAATGTGCGTGGCGTATGCAAGAGCAATATCGCAGATAAATGATGACGATACATGATGACGATAACATATCTTCCTTTTGTGTAGGTATCGACGTACATGAATGGACTGTTTCATCCGGCCAAACTGTCAGCTGTTGTTCTAAACAACACGCTTCAAATTTGTAATTTGATACATCGGTTTTGTCTGATTACGCATTGATCTGTTTATCATATGTTATGAGTCAAAAGAAACAATTACATACCTTTTCATAATTGGTAAACATGTTTTAAGATATTTTCTCACACGTCTATAATTCAATCAGTCAATGATTTTTATAACTGACGTAATTAAGTAATGCAGCGAAAAATTTATAATTAATTTGGAAGAATTTTGTTAAAAATATCGAATTATGACAAAATTTAAAAGAGTTAGAAGTCGTTGGTTCTATATTATTGAAAGTCTTTATTCACCTTGACTTTTGATCCCATTATGGTCAATTGATTTGATCTACACTTCGTCTAAAATTCTTAGGTATATATCTATTGCCGAAAAAACAGTTTGAAAAGATTAAGCCGTTTCTGAAAAATCTTGCAGACTAATAATCGAGCGGATAAATAAATAAACGGACGGATAGATCAATACAGCGAAATTATAAAATAGTTACATCTATATTAAGAATTTTTTTTGAGTATTTCTTTTTCAAGTCTCTTACATTTTTTTAAACAAACGAATTCGATCGCGGATAAAGATGTAATATATAGAGACGATGAAACAATTCGCATAATCAACTTATAAGCTTCAAAGCGTAAGATCGTACTCGTGTGATTTCGAGGGGGTAACCACTAGCTGAAATATTGTCCCACAGATTACATGACATCATATGATTTCATCTGATCACAAATAATTTTTTTCACTACATATCAAGTCATTTGGTAAAATATACAAATTTATTTAATATTATACAATGATTTATCGTGGCTGCATATGTAATTATCGGATAATACATAGAGATTTCATATGAATTTTATAATGATTTCGAGGACTCTGTTCCACGATTACATTAAGTAGTTACCCCCTCGTGTGACTTGATTGCTTCAGAATGGGCGACAAAACTCGTAAATTTCGCCGGCTTCAAAAATATATCGAGTTACAAAAAAAGCTCCTTCTTTCAGAATGGACGAAACAATCCGCTTTCGTTTGATTTTATTTTGCTCGTAACCGGACGCACTCGGAAATTGCGTGAGATTTTGCGTGAAAATCAGGCTTTGTCATTGCTTTGTCATCGCGAATCGACGCATCGAGAGTGCGTTGCATTCGACGAGAGAAAGAGAAACGAAAAAAAAAAAACAAGATTTTGAAATCCACTGCATTTTGCAACTGCATGTAGTACGAGAGATCTATCCGCGGTGTTCCGCGCCCGAGCAATCGACTGGCCGTAACCATCGATTTCAAGCTTAACGCGCGACTTGCCAGATAGATTTGGAGTTTGCAATATTTACAGAAAAGTCAATCAACGTTACTTTTGCGCAGCTCTCTACGAGTTCTCTCGTCGCGAGATGCGGCGAGCACTATTTCTGTCGATTCATTGTAATTGCGGTAAAGCCGCTTGGAGCTCGAATTTTTTCCAGTTTTCCGCTAAACCGCGAAATCTTGATCAGAAATTTAAAAAAAATTTTACGTCGACAGAGCACGAAAAATTGAAAAAGAAATGGGTGGTAAAATAGAAATAAAAAATTATTTCATCGAAATAATTACTTTATAATGTGATTTATAACGTAAACTGTTTTATAACATATATCTACAGAGTAGATTTCAACTCACCGTTTACAACGTGCACTTTTATGCTGCTAGGATTTGCATTGCTCGGCTCGCATCGATAAATCCCGGAGTCGCTCGGCACGGCTTTCTGGATCATCAAACGACTCGTTGTTTCGGGCCCTTTTTCCGTGACAAGACTGATTCCTCCACGTGGCGAATCGAAATTGATAACCTGAGCATAATTATAATACACTTGTATTTGTATTTTTTCTCAAATGATGAAATTATATGCACGATGTATTACACAATTAATTGAAAATAGAATATATATATATATATATATATGTATAAACGCCAATAATGGAAGGACATCAAATTTACATACGTAATATAATCGAATGCTTGCAGTAATAATAACAATGTTATTCGATGCAAAATGATTATGTGATTAAAATAATAATAAAAATTAATTAGAAAATGTAAATAGTTTACTCACATTATACATATCATATGTATTTTACATTCAACTCTCTCTCTCTCTCTCTCTCTCTCTCTCTCTCTCTCTCTCTCTCACCACATTTATTTTATAAAGATTTCCAGGATTAGGAACGTTATTTCATAAAAGTAACAATTGTTATAACAAAAAATAACGATATTATATAAAACGTCTTATTTCCCAACCATGAAGATTTCTGATCTAATTACAACGAGGGCGTAACCACTTAATGTAATCGTGGGACAGAATCCTCGAAATCATTATAAAATTTATATAAAATCTCTATGTACAATCCGATAATTATATATGCAACCACGAGAAATCATTGTATAATATTAAATAAAATCGTATATTTTACCATAAATTACTTCATAGTAGTGAAAAAAATTATTTGTAATCAGATGAAATCATGTAATCTGTGAGACAATATTTCAGCTAGTGGTTACCCCCTTGCAACATACACTATACAACTACATCATATACATATTTTTCTTTTTATAACTTATTTACGTTTACTTATTTCTCACTTTAAAAAACTTTGTTCTATATCTTGTCAAGATGCCGCTATAATTTAATTATGTATTAGCGCTTGAGGAGACATAGGCTGCGTTCTACTTAACGCTCACAACGCTCGTGGAATCATTTCATCCTTGTCATTTATCAAATGTTAAACAAGAACAAACGATGTTCGCGAGCGTTGCGAGCGTTAAATGGAACGCAGCTATAGCCACAGTCTCCTCAGAGCGCATAATAAATTCTAGTCTCTCTTTTTATCTCTATTTCTTACCGAAATTAAACTCTTTTTAGAAATAACAGCCCTCTTCAAATTATTAATACATATCAACTTATAAGATATTAAATTAATAGGCGAAGCTTTCTCTATGTCATGATTATATGTCGGAAATGAGATGGTATCTATCCGAACTTTATACTATTGAAAGTTTCTGAGGTTCGATCTCCATGAGATGATGATAGCTTCAGGAAACTCTAATAATACCGGAAATGAAGACTGACTCCTCTTTTGATTCGCATCGTTTAATATCGAACATGCGATGCCGTATGCGCTTCACCCGCAATCGTTCTTTCAAAGACACCAGCGCGCACCTGTTTCCTTACATTTCCCTGGAACCCCCGCTTTTTCCGACAACGCAATGACGCCCCTTTGGCGGAAGATAAAAGGCACCTTCCCGTGAGGTACGAGGTAAAGAATAGCAGAAAACGCGCGTATATATACGTATACATTTCTTTCGTATTCTCTTTGAAAATAGACACGCGTAACGGCACGCCCCCGTATAAAATGGAAAACTATCCTTCGCCTTTCCTCTTTCGCTTTTCTTCCAATGCTTTTAATTTTTCTTTTCTATAAAAAAAAAAAAAGTTAACTCGTTCCATTCCTCATACGATGGCAGAATCGGTTTCGCCGTGTGTATGTATCGCTTTAAAGAATAAATGATTATCCGCGAATCGAAAACCACGGAGGATTAATCGGAAAATAATTTCCTTGGCTGCCGCGTACGGCTATGCGAGCGGCTAGTCTTCTATTTCGCGTTTCACTTTGATCAACGTGCGCGATAGTACCTTGCGAAAATTGTGTTACCTGCTGTTTTATTCTAGTAAAAGCACGTAGCTGGGCGAGTGTAGCGCGTATCTCCGGCGACCGATGGCATACCGATGTATCGGCAATCAGCCGAGAAATTACTGTCTACCCCCCCCCCTTTTTTTATCGATCGTTTGCTAGTTTTTACTACAAACCATGCGTACACGTACACGAGCGTCTCATTAACGCGCGCAGAATAATTTCCGCTCGGCCGATACCAAACGTGGAATTACAAATATCGGCTCACAGAGGGGAATTTAAAATTATCTCGTCATCGTGAATAAAATGACGCGCGACACCGCGAACGTTACGTCGCGCAAAATTATTCTAAAGAGTTCGTCAATATTAATGGGTTCCGTGGTGTAATGTGCTCTTTGTGCCCCATGAAATGCGCGTTTACAATAACTTTTGTTGCACAAAGTGGTATTAAAAGCACAAAATGTATTTTCCCATCGCGAAGAAAATACGCGCCGACAGACCATATTAATCATGTATGTCTGTTGTTGTCCGACGCGGCAAAGAGCGTCGTTATGCAACTCGTCGCGAGATAAATTACGGACAGGAAAATCGGAGATGGAACATCGAGCCACGGTCTGGAATTCCGGTCTGCAAGACCACTGTGCGAAAATTATAAAACTATAATCCGTAATTACAGAAACAAATTCTATTGAACTTATTATAATTTATCTGTTTTGTACAAGATGAGTAAAGCAAAATAATAGCTAGAATTAAATCGCGAGCCCCATTTTTTTCACATTAAAACTTTAATTAAATCTTATTACAAAAGTTTTATTACAAATTCAAAACGAACTCAAAGCTCGAAATTGTTATAAAATTTAAGGATTTTTTGCTTCTACGGATAGACTCTGTTATCTTTCAGTAATTTATTTATAGAAGCAAATAAATAACACTTACTTCCGTGTTATGACTCCAGGTCATCGTCGGAGGTGGTTCGGGAGCGTATTTTACGACGCACGTCAGATTGATGGTGCTGCCTTTATTGACGAAGAGGTCCGGCGCTCCAATTATAATGGTTATCGGCTCTAAAACAAACACGAACGATTTGAGTGGTCTCTGTAGTTTAAGGTGACCAACTCCTTAAGAAAGTAAAAAGGGACATTTAAAAAATTCAATATTAATTGTCGTAATCAAATTTTAATAGATTTTTGAAAAAACATTTTTTAAATAATTATTAACGAAACACGTAAACAGTAACATATTATTATATTTGTAAATAACACTTAATGTATAACGTCACATGAGATCACAACAAAAATTATATCAAGTTATGAGATCACATTTTATTGTTTAAAATTATATTTTTTTGACTAAATGTATTTTATGAATAATATCAGGATTTTAAAATAAAAGATCATAAAATTCTTCACATATTAGTTAAAAATTATATTTCACATTCTTATTATTTTCGCTTATATATTTTCACTTATTATTTCACATTTATTATTTTTATACTCAAAAGAAGGACAATTTATAATCACGTCCTTAATTTGGGACATGTAAAGTTAAAATTTGGGACTGTTCCTCCTAATTTGGGACAGTTGGTCACTCATCTGTAGCTACGTGACGGTTGTGCGAATGGATCGCTTAAAAGCTTAAATAATTAGACCATAGTTTCTCAATCTTTTTTAGCTCACCGCCCCCTTTTCAAAATACTTTTTGTTCAGCGCTTTGACCATAACCGATAAGTAAACTCTCTCTGAACTCTAAATAAAGCAACAAAACGAAAATTATACAGAATCAAATAAAAAATATTAAAAAATTATAGCATAATATAAATTTATAAATATTAAAAAATTATCATTAATGAGAAGTTTGAGCTTGGTGTGATGCTAGTAATCTGTCTATATTTGGTTCCATTTTTGTCAGCAGCATTCTTAAATCTCCGCGCTCAACTATTTGCAGTCGATTCCTCTTTTTCTTGAAAAGATTTGTAACCGCACTAAATCCACGTTCCAACTAATTAGGATGAGGGAAATGCAATAAAACAATTATTGCAATTATATAATCAATTATATACATACACATATAATTATATTGAAAATTGCAAGCGTTCCCGAATTTATGAATGGCAGTATGCTTTTAAGATTAATTATGAATGAAAATTCCTCTTTTGCATGTAGCTGTTAATTAAACGATGGTTATATTATACGCAAGCTAACTATAGAAGGTACAGATCTGCACTTTCTTCAACTAGCGGAAAACTTTTGAAATTATATTGCATACAGCGGAACGTTTGAGTCAAACTCATGATGTTACCAGGAAATTTATATCGTTTCAAATAAATACGTTTCTCAATCAAAGTAAAGTACGACTTTGAAGTTTCGTCACCAAAGTGAAAACTTGAAGGAAATTAGAAATTCAAGAGTTTTGTAAATAAGATCGTTAGCGAATATAATATTCACATGACATCTATTGAATATAGTCACTTCTCGGATTTCATTTCTTTTCGTACTTCAAAGAAGTGAAAAATTAATGTTATAATTACATAAAATTAATTGTTCGCTCACCGACTATCGTTAAATACACAGGATGGCCGATGGGCGGGGTCGTAGATATTTGGCACTCATAAATCCCGGAATCCTTACGCTGAGGATATCGTATCCTCAAGGTCCAGTCCTCCGTATGAGGAGAGTGTAGTGCCTCGAAACGTTGATCACTGGTATAGGTGTAACGACCAACCGTTAACAAATGTATATCTCGGTGCCTCACCCAGGAAACCTGCAAAAGAAGATATTGCATCTTAGTTATTCTTAGTATATCACTTTATTTTTTCTATAGGTATACGAAAAAAAAGTTTTATTTGCAGAATAATTCTCTAAATTTCTTAGAGTGAAATCTCCGAAAGAGTTAAAATACTGCCACTATTCAAAAAAATGTGAAAATGCACTCTTAAATAAGAGTGGTAGATTTTGACTTTTTTCGGAGTGAGAGTTCACACATTTGGAGCGAGAATCAATCTAAAAAGAAAGGAGTAAGATTTCTTTCCTTTTGAATAAATTTCACTCCAAAAGTGTGAAAAAAAAAGAGTGAAATCTGTCACTCTTATTAAAAAATTGCAAATTTTCCACTCTTTTTCAATATAGTAGCAGTATTTTTCATTAATCTTTATATTTTTTATAAAGTTTGAAGTGAGATTTCACTCCAAAAAAATATAAAGAGTAATTAAAAAAATAATTTTGTTAATTCAATAACAATATTAAAGTGGTTCTTTGTAAAGTGTTCGAAAATTTGGGATGCTTCACCAGGGGTCGCCTAAAATTACAAATATCTGCATAATTTCAATTAAACCTACGTGTATATCTTAATATAGTATGAAACACACATATTGTGCAAAAATACTATTCATAACTCTTGTATACATAGGTGAGATTATGTTTACTTTTCGAGATTTGTATGCAAATTTGTGCATGTGTGTAAATATCTTTCCAGAATGTCGGATGACCTATTTATACTTTTTTACGATCGTTAAAATCGTAATTTTTTAAACTATTATAATCTTGTTTTTAAAAAAAGACTACGGTAAGATTTGTGTACAGTTAGTCAAAGAAGCGTCTCCGAGCCTTATCTGTTACTAATTATAAGTTATATGTAAAAAGTTACATTTTAAACATTTCTTTTCTCTCTTATTTCATTGTTAATCTATTGTAGAGTTTTGCACACGTCAATTTCGGTACTTCAACTTCATTACATAAAAAAATTAGATATTTCTATGATAACTCGATTTACTAAAGAACTTAATAAAAAAAAAAATATATATATATAAACAATATTTTATTAAAATAAAAGCATACCATGTTTCATTAATACTATTATCTATTATATAAATTGATAAAATTATTTTTAATTAAACTATTGCTGTTAAAAGACTCCTGTTTGTTTACTACTACACACTTATATTGTGACGTCAGAATCAAGAAAAATAGACAATAAAAATTTTTGCATGATATTGTATATTAATATGGAAATATATTTCAATAAAATAACTCTTATAATTGATGGAATCAATTTTAAAATATACCGCAAACTCTTCTTTTGTTCCATTAATTAATTAATGAATAACCATATATTTGGAAATGAATTTCGCATAATTAAAAACGAAATGAGCTGTTTACAACTATCCCAAATTGTCAAATTAATAATATATAGAGAAATAAATATGATTTAATTTCTCCCCGAAACAAGAAAATAATTTTCACATATACGATATGTTTTACAAGTATATTGATTGAAAATTATATTTTGTTGAAAAATTATTCTATTTGATATCACAATCTGAAATAATAATGAATGGAAGTCTTTATACAACATTTTTTTCATATATACGATTGACATATTACCGCATACTTGAATTAATAATTGATTTCCGTAACATTTGTTGTATTAATAATAAGATAGCTGTACAAATTGTTGTCTTTATAAACGGTTCAACTGACAATGAGATGTTTAATATATATGTATGCACTTTAAAAAAATATAATATAAAGATATAGAGAAAAAACTTATTAGTTGCGTAATATAGCATATCAAAATGCTCGAATTTTATGTCATTGTGGATCAAAGCAAGTGATGCATGTATATAGGCCACGGCCATGTGAGGAAATAATGTACCTGTGTACATGCCATGGGTGGACTGTCAATATCAGGCGCGTTACTGCCCTACCATATATTTATCTATCCTACGGCATTGTCTGCGGTTTGCATAATACATTGCTTGATGAATAAATCGAGACCTTATTTGTTTGTTAAATATCGTTGCTACTGTTGAATTTTTATTGTTTAAACCAAGAATGTGTCATAGCCTGAAAGGAATAAACAAAATTCTGTCAAATCTACAGAGATTACAATTTGAATGTACGTAAGTTTCATCAGAGTTCCAATGTACTCAATAATATATACTATAATAATTCTATCGCGCCGGCACGCAAAAAACATGAACAAAACTAATAGTTGATGTAAAAAAAGTTTCATCAATTGTGTTCTCCGAAGTAACATTTACATTCGATTGACCCTAATTAACTCTAGAAATTGGCGAAAACCGCACAACGACTGATACTCGCAAAATAATTTGTTTTATTCAGTATTGATATTTCCATCCAATGGTTTGAAAATTCAGAAAGTTTTCATCGACTGAAATACAAATTAGCTCAACGAGAAATACCGCATTTTTATGAAACTAATAGGTACATAAATAATTCTTCTAATTGTATACGTAAAGTAATCGTTCTATAAATAAATGCTTGCATATCTTTTATTATTGCTCATTAATTTTTAATTTGACGAGGTTTTCGAAAATATGTGTAATAATGTTATGTATTAATGAAAAGTTTAATAAATTGCCGATTGAAATTTTAACTTGTCGCTTTATCGTGGCTCATAAAATATATATTAGGTAAACGTTAGCAAAATAATTAACTTCTGTCCTTTAATTTCGGTTATGAAATTACCCCTATCGCTATACCTACCTAAAATTGATCGAACTAAATACGAAAGTCGTCAAAATCTCATCTTGATTCGCAATTTTATTTCTTAATGGTTGAGAGAGAAGGCATAACGATTTTACAGAATATACATATACAGAGTGTCCCGCAATTTTTGGCCAAGAGCTTTTTTGTAGATAGAGCGAACTCTACCAATCAAGAGTAAATCAAGAGCTGCATCTTCATCGAACGAAAACATTATGTTTACTTTTTGATACACTTAAAATGCAAGTTTATGCACGTAAAATATCTTTCCAAAATAATCATTAACCTATAACTTTTTTGTGATCATTAAAATTGTAATTTTTTAAACTATTATAATCTCGTTTTTGAGAAAAACCTATGATAAAATTTGTGTGCAGTTAGTCAAAGAAGCGTCTGTGAGCTTTATCCGTCACTAAATTATACGTGAAAGGTTACATTTTCAATATATTTTCTTTCTCTCTTATTTTATCGTTAACCTAACGTAGAATTTTGCATACGTCAATTTCGGTACTTCAATTTTATTATATAAAAAAATTAGACATTTCTATGGGATAACTTGATTTACTAAAAAACCCATCGTAAATTACTTGAAGGATAGGCATTTCGAAGTTCGTTCGAATATAACTTACCGAAACGAATGAAAAGAGTAATCCCGAAAATACATTTTTAGCTTATGTATTTTATGGTCCTCGATTTTCAAATCAAATTATATATCAAACAGTGCTATGTGATGGGACATTAATCTTAGAAAAAATTTAATTTGAGTATAGGGGTAGTATATCTTGAAGATATTGGCAATCAAAGTGATCAAATTCCTAATATTTTTAATATTGTTCAAGCATGTAAAAAGAAAATTAACGCTTTGTTGAGAAATTGACAATGAGATTTTGACTAGATTTTGGCAGAATAATTTTTTTGAATTTAGGTTTATTCTTTTATCAAGCTAGAAAAGCGACATATTTCTAATGATTATTGTAAATAAATATAAAAATGTATAAATAATCTAAAAAAAATATCTTTCTCTAGTTTTTTATAATAATATTATATTATAATAAAATTAAGTAAAAGTCTAGAGTAAAGAATAATGCAATTTTTTTATTTTTTGGAAGAAGAGAAAGTATTTGGCGTGATCGAACAGGTTGAGCGTACACCGCGCTTTTCGGATCATTTTACGGAAACTTCGATGTATTAACTGATCGCGGGTTGACGTCCTCTCGACGGGAGTGACGTTGCCATGGAGAGATTCGTTTTGTCCTGGTTCGTCCTGCATCCGGCACCTGCGCCAGCTGGAGCTCTCGAGATGACACGACCGTGTTATTGGCATTAGCGTTGCCGGCTGAAAGCCAAACAAAATCTATCCATCCTGACGAAGCGATGGGGTTGCTGGCGCTGAAGAACGGGACGAGGAAAACAGAGGCGTCGCAACTGTCGTGCCGCGCACACCTAACACGCCGTGCGAATGCAAAATCGGCTTTTGGTAGCTAGCTATTGAAATCGATTCTACAGATTCTGGTGCTGTGAGGGGTTTTCAGTCGCGATCGTTTTAGTATATACCTGGATTCAACTGAATTCTCCATCTTCATGCAGCTTTAAAGGGCGGCTTTTGCAAAATGGAAGGATTACATTTTCTAACTCTAGCGACGTAAATAGAGTCAAACGCTTTATACAAGATTGAAAATTGTAAATAATTTATAACAAAGTAAAAGCTTTTTCATACTGAAAAAAATAAAATATTTAATTAGAGTGAAAAATTAGAATTGTATAATGTTAAAATATGCTGCAAAGCGTAAAAATGGAACTTTTACTAAAAAATGATTAATTATTTTTGATAGATATTTTCGTTTCGTCAAGAATATTTTATCTGTTTATATATATGTATACGATATCATGTTCAATCCATTCGAGCGTTGCATCGAGGTGATAAAGGGTTTAAAAGCCACATAGTTGGAGACCGTATAGTTGGATCGCGTTTCTAGATTCGCCTATATGTGGACTACATTGGGATGCAGATATGATGTCACGATGGAGATTTCGCATTGTCCCATCTCAGCACCGAATCCTGACACTTGCGCCAACTCTCACGTACTCCAGATGACGCGTATGTGCCATTGGCATTAATCGCTGCATTGTTTGGCGAAATTCAACCGAAACCTCCGCATGGCAATGGTGCACGATACTATGCATGGCGCTGCATTTCTGTATGATTATACGGCTCTATGATTAGGGAAAGCGAAAATACGATCGTGCATTCATATTGCAGTATAAGAATTGCGTATTTTAAGAAAATTTTTTCGTATTAGAGAAAACATCTCTGTTTTTGAAGTTATGAATATATTGAACATTCCTGCTTCCAATCATTCATATGTAAATGTATCAACTGTCTCGTTACTAATAAATGGTTATTATCCACTGCATTATATACATGTTACATTAATTTAATATTTTAATACGATGGCAATAATAATTTAATAATGTGATAACATTTGGAGTTTGTCCAGAATAAATAATGGTTTACAATATTAACGTTAATGTAATGAACTTTAAAGCCGATAATCACAAAATACTGCAAATGTATAGTTTCCTCTTTGCTTCATCGGATTTTTAATCTGAAATTCCTTTGAAATGAAAGAGAAGATTATGATTGGCCGAAACCTTTATGATATAAGGTACACGTCAATCTTCGTAGGGAGCAAGAATAAGAGCAACGTGCACGGTACACTTTCTAATAATTCTAAGAGCTTTAATAGTACAGCATAGCTTTTATTTCAGGAAATAAGCACAAAAACTTATCCAGAACGTACTGACAGCAGTAATTTAGCTTAGCGCTGAAACGAGGTAAAAGCGCGCAGTGATACACATCCTGAGTGATAAAATTTCAGAGTTGGATCTATGTGCAACTCATAAAGCTCAAGGGACTTAAGTGTCAAGGGGTCGCGTGGAATAATCTCGTTCAGAAATAATGTCAATTTTTCAAAGCTGCTTGCATTGAATAAAGGCATCGTTTGCTTGTTATTGTGCGTGTTCTTATTTATAATAATTACAATTATTAATGTAATACTCCCAAAACGTTGCATTTATGTTTCAAGATTGCATAAAGAATATCGATGTCGATGATATTTGTCACTGTTGTGCGAATAAATTAAGCATCCAGAACACCAGAACACATTTGATGTTTAATTTAGGATTAATAAAATTGGAATATTATATATTCTGACAAAAGTTCTCGTTCAATTATCGCTGCGTATGCTGCAGTTTACTTGAATTGCGGAATTATACGGAATGAACATTTTGCCATTTGGTTTAATTCCGTAATTCAGAGCTACGCGTTGACAACACCTAATTGTGTACGCGAAAATTTAGGACAAGGAGGGAAGGCGGAAAAAACTTTGATTAATATTCATAAATCATAGGGATATTGGGTAATCATCGAACAGTGCACAAACGTGAAAGTCGTAGTCCGTGTTTACGATTACGCTTCGTTTATCAAGTTTTTGTATCATTCGTCGAATCTGCCGTTAATCAACAATCCATTGTGGACATTTAAACCGTGCGTATTCGATGTGTGAGCACGATTACGAGTTGTTCTCATATTTATGCAACGAATAAACTGTACGATCGCCAATTATTATCGGAAGGCCGCAAAATGGATATCTGGAAATGCAAAAGATAATCACGCGGTTAATGATTCGCTACGTTGTTATGACGTCGCTGAATATATCGATTTAAAGCGACGGATTTATCTACAAGTATATGCAGTATAAACTGTAGCAAATGATACGCAACGATAATTGAACGAGAACTCGCGTCAGAATATTTAATATCCCATTTTTATTAAATAAAATAAAATATCAAATAATGTAAAAATATTGAAGTATTAAATAAATATATTTATATTGCTGAAATATTAATAAAAAAATTTAATTTGAATATTAACATAAAAAAAAAAAGAATGCAATGATATTTCCGATTAATATAAAAAATTAAGCTTTAATAAGAAAAAGATTCCTATAATTTTTAGTCAAAGCGGATCTTCATGCTTGAATAATGTTCATATGTAAATTTATAAATATATTTTTCAGGATGTTTACTAAAATCTTGTACAAAAATTTCTTGAAAATTCCCGGATTTTCCAGGTATTTTTGTTCAAAATTCCAGGTAAAAAATTAGAGAATTTTTTAAATGCAACTTTGAAATAAATCGGAATCAAAGTAACATGAATAAACTATCTATTGAAAATTGAGAGAAGACAGGAATTTTATAAGACTATATCTATCATTTTTTATAATTTGAAGCTGCGAGAGCTATAGGATAATATAAAGAAAGTTCGCTACATATAATAATGTCAGTGAACTACTCTATTATTGCCTTCTATTGTCAATCTGACTTTTTAAATAAAAACTTGTGAGACACAAGAATGTACGTGTGTGAATATACACGAATATGTATAAATGCCGTACTTATGCTAATTGTCAACGTTTTGCATTATTATAACAAAAAATTATCAAAGGAACAATGTTTCCAGAAAGAGACAAAATTTAAATTTACAAGTCAAATTCCAAAAAATTCTTTAAATACTGATGAAATTCCATGAAAATTTTTAATTTTTAAGAGTAGAAAAGAAATCTTTTGAAAATTTCAGATTTTCTAGATACTATAGTAAACGCTGTTTTTACAGTTTTATAAACTGCATGCCAATTCAGTTTATCAAACTTGAAATGCAATTATAAACTGAAGCTGGAAATAACATCACAAATTACATCAATCGTCAATTTAAAATCTGCAAAGAACTTATTGCGAAAAATATATCCGACAAAATTCGAACCTAGATCTCTCTCATTTCGTGCGAGCGTTTTATTAATTCGATTACAAGGCATAGAGATATATATATATTCGTCGCAATAACCGGTAATTAGTGAGAGAACGTCGTTTTTTTTCAAAAAGACATTGAAACAGCTCTATATGTAAGTCTTTCGCTTATTTATTATTAGCATTATTATTAAATTGACGATTAATGTATATTTTCAGCTTCAGTTTATGATTGCGTTTCAAGTCCGATAAACTGAATCGGCGCGCAATTTATAAAATTAAAAATAAAATGTATTTGCAAATTTGTATTACCTATACAAGCATCAAGATCAGTTCTGACCGAAAATAAAAACCTCTCTCTTATTCGATTTATTTCTATCGATATAAAATTTTCATTTACAATCCTTCCTATTTTATGTTAAGTCTTTATTATTAAAGATTTGAACTTATTATATTCATTAAATTCATTATATTCCATCGAAACAGCGAAAACTGCCAAAATCGACCGCATAATAACGTTGACCTACCTCTTGCAAAGGAAAGCCGATCTCAAGCCACTCGGAACAGATTACGATGTCTGCTAATGAAGATGATCATTATCATCTAATTGTAAGACGTATTTGCAGTAGCTTCTTGGTCCGAGCAAACACCTAGTAATGATGCACTCTCGTGCGTTCACAAGCGGTGGTAATTGATCTTCCAGAGCGCTTATGAGAGCAACGTCATATATTACAAGAGATCCGATCACGTCAACAAAGTAAGCTCGAAAGAATGGATGTGTGGTGTAACAGGGCTTTTGCAAACTCGAATGACGAATGTTTCAAGCCATTTGTATTTTTTTAAATAGAGATTAAACATTTCGACTTTGACGAAAACAAAAATACTCTGTAATTTGAACAGTTGAATAAAATTAAGTGTCATATGCTACAATCGCAAACGATTAACCCTCAAATAGAAACTATCAGAAACTGTCAGTTTGATTTTTAGATGGAAGAAAATATAATGGGGTAATTCTTTGAAAATTACCCGAACTTTGTTACGAGCACACGCAAACCTGAAATTTAGATGTAATAAATATGCGATTATAGAAGCGCAAAAGATTATCGAAACTAGTTTCGTGGTAGAGCGGCGTTCTTAAGGAAGTTACAATCGGTTGATCGTATGTGGTCATGCTATCTCGTACTTATGCGATCAATTCTTTATTCTTAACGTTCTCAATACGTTTATTCAGCAATGCCATTCAATGATCGAATGAACTGCGATGTTTCAATGCAAGCCGTTCAAAGACATCGTTTCCTATTTGAAGTCAGTTTTACATATATATGTATATAACATATATATATTGCGTACATAAGTATAGAAGTAAAAAGGCATCAATGTGATGTGATGCCTTTTGTACAACGATGAGCTAAGAAGTAACGTCGCAGAATGAAGAGACCGGTGACGTGATGACACCCTCAAATATCAAAATCGTCTGGTACAATCAAGATAATTGTACGAGGGGAATATTTCAAGCGATATAATTCGTCGACGCGCGTGTTGCACAAAAAGAATGCTTCTGTTCACTATATAAGAAGAGCGGTTAATAATGCAGGAACATAAACGCTAACATCGCCTGCCTTTTTCATGAGATGCCGGCACTGTGCACGATGAAGGAACAGTAATGTTTATTTAATAGCCCCATTTACGTTGGACGAACTGCACCACGGACTTCACCGTGTAAGAACAGATTTTATATTTTACGATTTTATATTTTATAAGCGAATCGTGTCCCTATAGACGTGTATTTGTTCCTATCGCGCGCATGACTGCCATCGTTAATCATATCGTTATTCATGTCATAATTATATCAAGTTGTAATTATTACAATAGTAAGAAGTAAAAATTCTCGATCGTAAGAAAAAAAACTCAGTAACATAAGATTATATACTCAAAATATTCAAGATTGATTTCAACGACTAGTTAAATGCTCTAAAATCTTAATAAAACATAATTGCACTTATTATGTTATCTCTCTCTCTCTCTCTCTCTCTCTCTCTCTCTCTCTCTCTCTCTCTCTCTCTCTGATTAAAGAATCTTTTAAGATTAGTTTTTAGTATATTTTACCTATCTCAGCAATTCACGTTTGTTACTTTTTTACCGATACGATTTGAATGACACTTTAACTTTCTATTCGTGGACCATCGATCGATTATAAGGTCGTTTAACAGGTCTCTTGATGGCGAGCAAGCGAGCGAGCGGGCAAATCTGGCGACGTGACACGCCGTTAAAGTATCCGCTACGATCGCGAGGAAGGGTCGCAAGGTCGTTCGTGCGGCCCTACCCTTAAATTATTCAACAGTGGCGTGGGGTAGATGGCCAGCGCGCTGTCCGCTTCGAGCTAAGATATAGCGCCTCTAGTCACGAACCAGACGATGGATTTTCCGATGGCTCACCGTTCGATTCCCCAAGTTCTTCACCTTGCACACGAGATGCACCGTCTTTCCCACCAGCCCGGTAAAATTCGACTGCATTGAAATGTCAAAGTGAGGACCGGTGCCTGGCGTCGGCCATTCCTCCAGGAAGTCGGTTCGAAAGTTTCGTAAGCATGACGCTATACCACCTGAAAACAAAAGTATCCTTACGATTAATGCTAATTCCTCTGAAAAGCACCATTTATTATAATAAAAAATTTAAGATTTCGCTAAAAACAGATCTATCGCGAATTGTAATCAATAATAGATTTCTGACGAGATTGTCAGATTGATTTTGTATAGTGTTACTTCTCGTTTATAAATGAATGGTAAGAATAAGATTGTCACAAATTTTCTATCCCGTTTTTAACGCGGTCATATCAGGCTGTCAAAACTGGCAACGGAATAATTGTATATCCCGTCCCATAATTCTTTAGTATAACAGTGCAATAGCACACGGCACACGTTTGTAATGTCGTCGTTAAACGTTCCGTATAGGAAAAAAATGATTGTACTAAAGTACTAAAATATTTAGGTAGATACAAATTTAAAAATATAATTTTGTTGAACCATCAAAATAATTATGTAAAAAATTCACGCATAATGAGCAGTGCTGCATAAAGTTTTGACATTGTAGCAACCAGTTTGAGCGTCCTACATAATTTATTTTGACAATCAAACAAAATTATTTTCAGACCTGTGTATCTAGCTAGATTTTTAAATACTTCAGCAAAGCAGTTTTTTTTAGTGCACGTTTGAAGTCGGTGTCCATGGAATATTCTAAGAATCCAGCAAATCTCTCGGCGCATTTACGATGTATTACATTTTGCAAGGCTACTTGAATCTCAAAACGCGGAAACTCCGCGTCAACCCGTTAACGTTTGCGTCACATCGGAGATCGTACGTTGCATCAACGTCACGGATTGTCGCGTCACATCAGTCGCGTACGTGAAAGTTCGCGTGGCAGTACGCGAACGGACCTATTTAAATATATCACATTATATCTTGACGTGACGGTAACGTTCCTTTTCGTGACGGCAGCGCGACTTTACAGCCGGATTTCCCCTGAAATCTGCGCGTTACCGTGTACACGCATACCGTGCATTTACTAACTGCTAAGCTTATCACGCGTGCTATTCGGGAGATATTTTTTCCCGCGTATCTTGTGTAACGTTATATAGAACGTATGGGGGTGCGCGCGCGCGTGGAAAGATTATTCCATTGAAATAAATTAATTCTGTGGAGGAGACTACTCGGTAGAAAACGCAAAAGATTTATTAACAGTTGTACGCGAAGCACGCGCTTTAAATATCAGATTAAGATATAAACTGAAATATCAATACGGTACGCTACGAAACTTTTTAAATCCATCATTGTGAATGTATTCAAAAAAATTGTCGATATTTGGAAAAAATATTTCATTCGGAAAAAATATTTCTGAAGCGTGACACAGTTTCTTTTGAAACGCGCGACATGTTTTTTTTCCCCAATATTAATTTCCAGCGTATCTTTTCTATAGAATAGGCTTTATTTTTCTGTATAAAAGCTTTCGTCGGAAAAAATAATCTTGAACAAAATACGAATTACAAAATTTTTGTTGGAAAAAATGAAACACTTGTAATATATTTTTATTTAAAGTAGTCCTAGATCCAAGACTCTTTGTTTTCCAATATTAAATATAATACTGTTTCTTTTTAAGAGAGTTGGATTTCGTTATCCTGACGTTAAGCAACGGTAGTCTTTAATTAAATTCCTTTTTTAACATAAAGCCATTTTGCTGTAACATGAACATTGATAAATAAGCATTTGCAAAATAATAAACGCAAAAATAGCACACATTTGGTGATTATTTCATCTCCATATTTTCAGTTGCAGACAAAAATCATCATTAGTGTATATAACGTAGGTAATTCTGCCAGTGCAATGTAAATATTTGGATAGCACTCTTCATATTATATATATTATCATCAAATTACCCACGTTTCAAGCCGAATATCCATGTAATTTCTCTTATTAAGTTTTTATTAGCTTTACCTCATTCTATAATTTTAAAACAATGCTGTGTTATATGTTTTTGCACGAGACATGCAATTGTGATTAAATACAATTTAATTACGTATCTTTCTACCTCTTTAATAAATGCATCCCAAATGCACCCCGGTGAAATACTCACGCCGCTACTTTTTGAATAAACAACCATTTGCATTGTATATTTATGCATTACATTATATGAAGAGTATATTTTTCTAAAAACAAAATATTAAAAAAATTGAACATAAATCTTTGACGTAACTTAAAATGCAAGTACTGGTGCTGTGTTGCGTGCTATTTTGAGATGAACTAATGCAAATGTTCTCTCCGGCGTTGACAACAATTCACGTGTAATCCGCATTCTTACACTCGAATTCGCGATTCTTGATTAAGACGAGGAAATACATAGGCAACTGAAGCGGGCGCAAATACCTGAGGTGCACGCACGAACTATCGCCAACTCCGAAATTGTACTTCCGGATCAGCTGTGTGCGGGCAAGCACTTTCTCAGTTGCGAATTATATTTCGTCAAGTGCTTCACAAAGCCAGACAGCCGTACGCCGCGAATTTCCGACTGCACCATGTTTAGGGCGAGTTCGCGATTAGAACGGAATTGCATGTACTCTCGCTCGTTGCCGGAGTTGATTTCAACCGGGATGAAGATACTTGCTCCACTTCCTCACTGTACGTGTTGTTAGCGACAATATTTAACCACCAAAGATCCTTGAATTATATAGTAATTTAACGAGGTCGGTCTCAGACGCGATTCAAGTTATGGAAAGGTATTATTCTTTAATAGCAAAAAACACCAATATTCAATTTTATACTGCATATTGAAATAATAATCTTAAGAGATTCTATAAATTTGTAGAAAAATTAAGAAATATTTAAAGACACTCAAATTTACATCAAAACTACGATATTTACTCAATTGTATTCGCTAATTTTTTAATTTTTATAATTAAAGTTAATCCTTTTTTCCAATCTTCTTTCGAAAAATTGCACTCGTGCGATGAAACTGACGCATTTCTTTGCGTTCTTAACATCGCCGCAAGACAACGATTAATCTCCGGACTTTAACGGGAGAATAGCTTCCGGGCTTGTAAGCGCTATGAAGTTAAAGGCGACGTAGACGTGCGCGTAATATCAAACTTCATCGATGACGGGATTAAACATAATCGCCGCCGGCGCACTCTATTTCTCTTCGTACCTCCAATTTCGTCGAACTTTTCGAAATACTGGTCGACGTGTCGCGACGTGCCATTGCGGATAATACGAAACTTCGAAACGAATGGGTTTTCCGTAGCGTATAACGTCGCGCACGAGGGCCGCGTGCTCGCGCGTATTGTCATAAAATAACCCTCGTAATTGCCTTTCAAAACTTTTCGCTAGTAGAAGCACTTCCGTGACGGGAGAACAGAATTCTGCCCAGGTTCGCGAGACCGCCGCTCATTGAGTCCGTTTGCCGTGAGGCCTCTTGCTGTTCGAGGCGTTCCCTCGAACAGGACCTGTTCGATGCAGATATGCCCGCACAAGCCTCACGTCATTCGTTTTCTGCTCGCGAAATTAATTTTCCTACTTGAATTCTTTTGCAGGAACTTTACCACGTTTCATGCGAGAAAAGTTCAGTCCGTGCGCCTTTCATCGAAATTTCCAAGCAAGGAATGCACGCCAATTGGAACAACGATATTTATTTCCGTGCCGACGTATTCAATTAGTCTGACTGATTGTGAGTCTGACTGAGTCAATTGAGACATAATAAACTACTTTAACTATAAATATCTCCTTTTTATGCTTGGCTATATTTTTTAATATCTGCAACTGTATATTTCTTGTAACGACTATATGAATATATCTATAATTAAATCTTCCTTTTTTGAAAGGATCATTTATCTTTATATTTAGTTTGTTCCAAACAACAATAATTGTATATTTGCTAGAAACAAATTATCTTTATACAATATTATCACAGAGAATTTTATACACAATACTATCACAAATAACACACAAATAACTGCTAATATGAATTACTCTTATGTGATTGCTATTACGCTTTGCGTTCAAAATAGAATGTTTAAATTTATATACGCATATATACGTGCATTAGCTGGATATGAAAGGGAAATATTAAGTTATTAATCACTTCATTCCATATGCAAATTAAATTATACGGATGTGGAAACAGCTGATAATAAGTAGACACGACATTTCACGTTCTATATTTCATACAGTCCCAATGCAATAATTTTTTGTATAACAAAACATCCACGTTTTCGTATCTTGTTGACAATTGTTATAATTGTTAATGCAAGCGAGCAGGTATGCAGATGATTTAAGTGCACTTCTCGATGACGCGTGAAAAACGGTCGGATTAAAACCTCCTTAGTGGAACGCTACGTTGTTGATGCAATGGGCTTGCTATTGATTCGAACGACCGTCGGTGGATCGAGTTTTATGGTCCTTTTAGCCGGAAGGAAGTTGAAACAAGTTCACCCCTGATTATCGGATCGACCGAGCTGTTCTGTTGTGCTAGAAATTAATTTTGTTCCTGAAGCTACGTGAACACGGATTTTCCCTTCGTTATGTATTGACAGTTTCGGATGTCACTTTATAGTTTCTCTTTATTAAAATTCGGAAGAACAGTTTAATTTTACTGGTATCTGTTTTTGCAATTTACTGGTATCTGTTTTTGCTCAGAAAATATCTATTTTATTAATATTTCTTTTTTTGTATTTTGAATTTTCTATTAGTAATTACTCAAACTGTTTCAACCCCAGAATGCTATCAATATGTAAATTTTACGTAAACGAGGTCATTGAGAGTTAAGACATGCCTTCAGTGATCATTAGGATGTTCAATCTACCGTATTGAAAGCTACGACAAGCGGAGACAAGCTTTTACAAATTTTGTTTGTTATATATTAGTTTAGATCCCTTGGTGATCAACATTATATAACAGAGAGTGTGATAAAGTGATTTCAACTTTTAAGCAGTTTTGTATTATTATTTTGTGTTGTATATTTTATTTAAATATTATAAGTAAACATATATAAATAATTAAACTACATACTCCATATCATTTCAAGTAGGGATGCACCGGATCATAAAATTATCGGATA